TTTGAAAGTATCTTTTGAAAAAGCCTCATTTGAAAGAGGCTTGCAGTCTAGTCGTAGCCTAAGGGCACGTCTACACAGCAGGGCAAAAGTCAAATTAAGCTACAAAACTTGAGCTACGTCAATTGCATAGCTTACTTTGAAATAGCTTAATTTGGCTTTTGGTGCTGTCTACATAGCTGGAAATCAAAGACGGAACACTCTTCCTTCAACTTCCCTTACTCCTTGTAAAATGAGGGTTACTGGAGTTGGAGTAAGTCCTCTAGCTCACTATTATTTCAAAATAATGGCTTGCAGTGTAGACATGCTCTTTGTTATTTTGGAATAATGTTAGTTATTCTGAAATAATGCTGCTGTGTAGACATAGCCTAACAAAACAAAAACAGAATCCTGAGCCTAGTGCCCCTCAAGCTTGGCAGACAAGGTATTCACCTGGGTTGTCTAGCCTTAAATCATGCCCTGATCCTACAGACCAAGTGTCCTTGACTTCATATCTTTTACTCACTTCCTCCAGGGCAGATCTATACTGTGCAATGAATGAAGCATGGCTCCTGGGGAAAAAGTATGGCATCATGTAGTTAATGACTATCATAATGCATAGGCACTAGGGAGCTCAATTAAGGTTGCACAGGCAATTTTAATTATGGTATTTTCTAGCTTTGCAGCCTTAAGAGTGCTTTAATGTAACTTCTCTGTGTATAACTTCTTAGGTATTAAAAAAAAGAAAATGAACAAAGAAAATTGTGCTACAATATGGCATCATATTGAATGATACATACATCATTCCTCATCAGGGTTTGAATGCTAAGATCCACTGCACAGACTCTCTGTCTCTTGAGCTAATTGAGTTATTGATATCAGTGATAGGTTACCATCCTCTGTGTGGCTCAGCACTTAAAGGTAGATAAGATCCACTCTGCCAGTAGGATTCATGGATATTTGCTGACAGCAGAGGAATGGAGAGACTTTGGATTCTTTGGTTCCAATCTGGAAGGAAATATGCTGTAGTCGTGCAGACCCTTGTGCATCTTCCTCCAGGGCACTATTTGTGGGTATGTGGGTTTATGAGGCACTTTGCTGCCACTTGCCCTTAGTGTGAGGAAGCCTTGTTTGTGTCCTCTGTGGATCAGTTCCCTGACTCCATTAGCCTCTGGCAACAAAAACTTGCCTTCTAGGCCTTCACAGGCCCTTCTCTTTCTTTACAGGTTAATAATCCACTAGACTCTCACAGAGTTCCTAGCTCTCCTATTACCAAAGGAATAGTACAGACCACCTTACCATTTTCACCTCAGGATCTCTGTTCCACTCAACACATGGCATTTAGATGTGTCTATAGTAAAACAGTAAGTTTATTTAAGAAATAACAGAGATCCAAGTAGTTGAAAATGTTGGAAGCTCAGGGTTGCATATAAAATAAATTACATTGTATAACCTAGTATTGCTCTCCAGTGTTTTTCAGCCAAGTAAGCCCTTTTTCTCAAAAAAGCTTGCTCTAGCTTATTCTGTCAGTAAAGGAAGCAGAGTGTAGCTCTGAACATACAGTTATAGTCCAAAATCCATTATGTTTACTTGAAAACAGGACTCTTTCCTGCCTGTTTCTCTCTGTAAAATTCACCCCCTGAAAGATTTCCCAATTCCCTCATTCTCATTTAGCTCAAATTGTAAATGGGCATCTATTGTGGACCCTGCAATAGTCTATTTACATGTAGCCGGACAAACATCCTAAAGGAAACTTGTCTCTCACCTTTTGGTGACCAGAGGCAGGTGCTTGGAAATATATATACTGAACATTAATTTCTTAACTTCTTATTTTCTGTACTTACATTCCATGATTATAATGACCAACAAGGCTTTGAGCAGAAACCTTACACTCTTTGGCAAACTAGCATGTAGAGACTAGAGACAGTCCATATATAAACCTTAGGCACCAAAAGTTCATTGGTCACAACAATCTTGACCTATGCAGTCCTTTTTCCTGCTACCTGTATGAATCCTCTATCTTACCTTTGTCACTATGGGTCATCATCCTGCTCCCATTCTCCTCATCTATCCAGCTCCAGGTGTGTACTCCATGTCCATCTTCTCTTAGGCTCCTCATATAGTCTGTCTTTCCCCTGCCAATTGTTTCTCTCCTTGGTTCCTTGTCCAGTCTCCCTTGTCCTAGCTTGTCCCAGTCTTCTTTCACCCCAACTCCCAGTCAGTTTTCTTTTCCTGATCTTACCTGCCTCTGGTCCCAGTCACCTCCTCTTTTCCTCCAGGCTCCTTGTGCCAATCTACTCCCCCCAATCCTCTCAGGTCTGACTTTTGTCCCATTTGCACTTAAATCAGATGGCTACCACCTTCTTTCTGCATGAGCTTCAGGAGTAGGAACAATGAGGAAACAGAAGGACATAGGCTCCCTCTTCTCAATTTCAGTGCCTGGATCTAGGTCCAGACTCAGCACAGAGCTGCAGTTGTAGGAGGGAAAGCCCTGTTCAGCCCTTGACTAGAACATGTTTGTTGCAAGAGGAAACTTTAAGGAATTTAGCTGCAAAACTCTAGCATGTTTCTGCTGAACATGTGAAAACTTCAGTATTCCAAGGTATATAAATGGGCCAAATTTGAACAGACTTTCTCAAAAAATGGCTAACTCAAAGGCCATCAATTTTCATGTCCCTGCTCTGATCATGGGGCACTACTGTTTTTTTTCAAGAAAGGCAGTCATTTTTTTTAACGTGGGTAAAACAATTAATTTTTATCAAACATTGTTTTCAGGAATGGCTGTAAGTGTTTTGGCTGAAATTTCCCTCCTCTTACCCACACCCAATCAGGTTGAGGCAAACACCTGACTTGGAACATGTCAGACTAAATGATTGCTGTTTTGTAAAGGTATAAGTAACTGAAAATGGGCAATATCAGGCAATATTAATAGTATGGAGTGCTACAACCATGCCTGTACATTTGGAACACAACATTAACTATAGAAGCACAAGTGGCACTTCCAAAATGTTTGTGTTTTCACTCTTAGCCCTGGTCTACACTAGCGAGTTATTTCGGAATAGCCCCCTTTTTTCAAAATAAAAAGTGGAATATCCAAACAACCCAGCCTGTTATTTCAAAATAACGGGCTAGTTATTTTGAAATCTGGACTCTTGCTTTCCTTGGGGAAAAATGCTTATTTTGAAGTCACATTAGTGTGGACTGGGGTGGGGAAACATTTTTGGATCAGAAGTCACTAACCCACAGAAAAATCAGTTGGGAGCCGTACACAGGTGAGGAAAAAAAATCCCTCATTGACGTGGCCTTTTTTTCTGAGAAGAAGACACTCCCTACATTTCTTCCCACACTAGAGCCTACGGGGGCCCAGCCAGTGTGGGCTCCCCAATGCTGGGGAGGGGGGAATGAGCCCCCAGGCCTGAGGTTTCCCACCCCTGATGTGAACAATGTGCTGCTGCTAATTCAAAATAATTGGCCTCCAGAGGCATCTCACAGCTGCACTTCTGACTGCTCTGGCCACTCCTGCCAGCTCCACTGCTTCCCTTCTTCTACGGAACTTAAAGCAGCAGCCACATGGAGATCTTTGCCACCCCTCTGCCATACAGCTTCAGCAGACGGAGCCATGGCAAACCCCAGTGAGCCCCCAATGGCTGCCAGCACGCCCACAGCAACCTTGGCTGCCATTGGCCAAGGACTCAGGGCCAGACTGGCCTGGACTTGTGAGGAGAATCCTGTACCTCATCAAGGTCTGCAATGAGGAGATTAGGCTCCTAGATCTCCACACCAGAAAGTGCAAGGCTAATGTCTATGGCCAAATGGCCTCCAGCTTGGCCAACAAAGGACACACCCAGATCCTTGACCAGGCCCGGATGAAATTCTAGGAGCTTTCTTAGGCCTACAACAAAGCCAGGGAGCAGAGCGGATGATCTAGGGTGGCACCTCATGCGTGCCGCTACTATAAGCAGTTCAATGCCTTCCCCCATTGTCCCCATTGAAATCTAAGTTTTAATATGTAATAGTATGTTTAGACTTTGTACATTTTCTAATATTTCTCTGCCAGATTATAAATTTTTAGAATTAATCTTTATTAATGTTGTAGTGAAAAAATATGCTAGGAGACAAAGTTAGAAAATCATTTTATTGCAGAAAAATCATGCTTTGATTGTTGTTATTAAATTAATGAGTAACTTCAAGCCTCAGTAATGGGATAACCATTGTTATATTACTGGCAACTTTAACAAATCTTGCCATTTTTAGAGAAATACATGCAGTTTGGTTAAACAAATGTTAATTCAGTTGTGAATCATTTATATTTGTTCATAGAAAAAAATGTATACACTAAACTGATTTTTCTTCCTAGTCTTTATACAACACATTTTATTTGAATCTCCCCAGGTTTGCAAACATCCCCTTCTAGTTATTTATCTTTAGCTCATACCCCTACTGCTCCTTTGTCAGCTATAGCAGGGCATTCTGATTCCCTCCAACCACAAATGTGTATCATCTATAATTAGCTCAGTTTCCTCTAGCCTTCAAATCAAAGCCTTGGAGCGTGGCCTGAACTTGTGTTGCCTGTTCTTTATACCTCACAGAGAATAATTAATTTGCTTACCCCCTGCAAAAAAGCCATTGGTTTCCAGATAAACCTAGCCAAGATTATTGTTTGAACTGCAGCAATGTATAACTTGAACACTTTTCTATCCAGCTACCTTGGGAATTTGGTGTTTACTGTGGAAATGCATAAACTCAATTGTAAGGAAGTTTGGAATTAAATTTGCCTTAGAACGTCGAAAAAAGAATGATTACATTTACATTTTAAAGGTTTTATTGAACTTCTTTTCTAATAAATAATGTTCTATTCAGAGTATGCTAGTGAAGGATTTAAGTCAATTGATTTTTCCATAATGTATGTGTGTATTAATTACCCATAGCATTGAACTGTCATTTACTTGGTTTACAATATTTCCAGTCTCTCACCAGTTATTGTCAGTGGTGACAGAGGGATTTTCTTTCTTGTATTTTCCCAGGTCTCAGGGTGGAGAATTTTTGATTGAATTCAGAACCATCAATCTCAGGGTAAGACACATCTTTTGTTATTTCTTTAGCATCAATTTGGACATTAATGGTAAAATTCATATTCCATGGTAGGAGAATGAGAAGAAAGAAGTCTGTGCTAAATGTATTGTTAACATCACCTGATCTTTTTGGCAAATAGTTGGTAAACAGGTCTGTTGCCTCACTGTTTAAACTGGCAGTTTTTCTCTCTGGAATAGTTTGAAGAAGAATATATTTTGTAGTAAAGCTTTTACTCCTTTGAGGTTACATTCATGTACTGTGACCACATTCCATTAAGGGACTAATATTAATATAGTTATCAAATATTGGAGCCAGTGTGATTTCAAAATGGATTAGATAAAAATGATTCAGGGAGGCAATGATTTATAATACTGACAGAAGTCATGCAGACGTAAGTGGCAATTTTATACATTTAAAACCTTTGTGGAAAAGCTTCTTTGATGAGAATGAATAACGGCAACCAGCAATAGAAAGTAAAACTTGTTTTATTACCTGTCAAGCTTTATCAAAATGGGTTCCCTCAACAAGCATTTAATGTCACAGCTTCAGGGAACTGAGTCCAAGACAGGTAGGTACCTATTGCAATAAAAATAAAAAATTACTACAAATTTATAGTGACTAAAATTTGAGCTTTTTTCTATCTCGGATACTACTGTGAATTTCTTGAGAAAACTATGTAGCTGAACAGATTTGGACCAAAGATGTAGATGTTTACCATGTAGTTGGTATTGTTTAAGGGCATGTGAAGTAAAAGCTGTTAAGAGTAACAAGCTTAGCATTACCATGAAAATATTCTCTCATGTTTTAAGATTGTTTCATAGTATTAAATATAATAGAGTCAAGTGCTTGTTTATAATGAGACAATAAGGTTAGCATTCAGTTGGTTGCAAACTCACAAGGTAACCTTATTTGTATACAAAATAGCTGTCATACTCTGCATATTTGGGCAAAAGATAAAAATCCCTGAGGAGTGAAAACCCAAGTGCAAGAGAATAGACATGTCAGTTTTGTTTTGTGATTCTGCTGATTGTGGGAAGGCAGTAGTTTAAAATGCAGCCCGGCAATAGAGTGATATATTTTATTGTACCGGTTCCCTGTAATGAGCTATATCCTTTTTAGCCCGAAGTTATATACGTATTTTAAACTTTAACTGTGAAACCTGGACTGAAATGTAGGTTTCTGTTCTATAGACATACAAAGTATCTAAAAGAACATGAATGTACCTTATGGGCTAGGATAGATAGATATTCTTTAAAAAAAAAAAAAAGAACCTTTGCATCCTTTATTGTCCATGAAAATATTTTCTCTGTCAGCTATGGAGTAAAACTTATATCTAGGTTACTGTATTGCATTGCTCTACACTGCCGATCTGAAGATGATTCGTGAGTGAACATTATAACTGTTTAACAGTGCTTTTATAGTAATTTGGATCAACCATTTGTACTTGTGTTTGTGCTCAGATTTACTCTCTGAATTGCTTAGATTTGTTTGGGATTTAGAGTGTAATAGTTCTGTGCTTTATAGTAACATTTTAGGGTTAGAGTTTGCAGGTTTGGGGCTGGTAGCAAATTTTAAGGATGTTAAGTTTTGCATAACAATCTCCTTAATGTTTCTTATGGACTAGTAATTAGGGATTCATACAAAGCTGTGGACATTTAATGCATAAACTCTTCTTAATAAACATACAGAAGAGTGACTTACTGGGTCTTCCCACTCTTGTAAGTCCATTGTTTCATTAAATGTAAATATTGTGCATAGTGGCTGTGTTTTTTGTTTCCCCTGGGTTGCTGATTTGTGTTGTCCTTTATGCTAGTAATCTTTT